CGTTTAGATTGAATGGTAATTTATAATCAGTCACAAGAACGTCGAATCTGAATCACTTGAAAAAAACACGGGGGTGCTTAACTTTTTTCCAGGTGTATATATATATTTTTACAAATAATTATATATAATGTCATAAAAGTTAGACTTATTTTTTTCCATTCGTTTTGTTACTGTTCTAACTTGAATGACATTTTAATGAAAAATAATTTCATGAAAACTATGTCACATAAGTGTTGAGCTTTCCTGAAAACTACAAGCACCAACAGAATTTTAATCAACCATAACAAAATCAGAAATCAATACCTTTCCTCAAACTACACTTAACGGATAATGAAGGACATTTCCAAATGAGCAATCATTTGTCAGCTCTTTATAGAATGAAAACCAGATAAGAAAAATGACAAGCTGATTTCTGGGAACTGTAGCAAAACATCCAAATTCCCGAAGCTGACATTTTGAGCTCCTGATTATTAAACAACAGTTATATCCAAAACCCAGTGACCATAAAGATAAGAATTTTATGTGACAACAGAAGTGACACGTGTATGTAAACGTATATCACTACTTGCAATATGTCGTGCATTAATTAAGCAAAAAATATGGCATGTAAGAGCTTAAACATTCAAAATTGAGTCCTTCCATGACATAGAATTAGGCTGAAAATTAGATTAAAAGCTGTTTTTCATGACAAGTTTTACAGATCAGTAACTTCTGGCAGTGGATAATTATTCAAACTGTGGTTAGTGACAACAAGCATATAGAAAATAAATAAAATCACACTCACTGTTTTCTGAACAGATATGATGTATATAGCAATATATATAAAATGTTTTAAAACATTATCAAAACTTTAATCTTAGAGTTTCTTTATCCAATTTTATTTGCACTTCAGTAGGAAGAAGAGGATCGTATTCACAGAACAACAACTAAAAATTATTGTCTCTGAATGTATACATACACAGTTATAGAAAAAATTAGTTAATGAACATTATTAGTTTTTCATACAGCATATAAAGTGATTAATTCACTGGTGATAATTCTTTAATAATAACATGTGGAAAATTTGTGTATTTTTATCAACTTCACATATTACACACTGCATATTTTCTGCACATATAGAAGCACTAGTACGTTATATTAACTATGAACAAACATTTTCTTACCCTTGTCTTCATTTTGGCATTCTCTTCTTTCAAAGTTTGCAGCTGTTTCTTCCATTCTTCCACATTTGTTGTGCTTTCTTGCAGTGCACCAGCTAACCGCACATTATTATTTTTTAGAGTCTGTAGTTCAATTTCCCACTTCTTGGCATTAGCCGAACTGTGTAGCGGAAGGTTTATGGTTTGAAATCTTTCTTAATATATTTGCATAGCTTGTAAGTATTGCAAGAAAATTTAAACCTCTTAATCAACAAGTTCTAAAATTGTTGTTTATGACTCACAACGTGGGTAAATTAATATGGACTTTTCTCTACATTAAAATACTTTTATAGCAGCTTTCAGCCCTCTTACTGGAGCCTTCATCGGGCAACAATGAAGGCTCCAGTAAGAGGGCCAAAAGCTCGCAATATAAGTATTTTAACATAGAGAAAAAGTCTGTTTATAATTCTACACAAAGTTCTAAAATTCTTGGATAAAATTTTAACTGTGCTATTTCAAGATAAATCCTTATCTTATGGTATACAACACCTTATGCCCATGATGCATGATCTAATGATTGGTAATTTGTGTGACATTATATCACAATAAGAAAAACAATTTTATTTAACAAGTCCTTCTTTACTGATCTGACAATACAAGGTTCCATTATGAAGAAAATAATAATGTCTCAACTGTATGTACACCTTGCGTGTGCCTCTGCACCACATGCCACTGCCAATGAGGCCTTTCTGTTCAACACCAAAGCTTTTCAGATGACTAGGAATGCTGAAATTTAACTACTATTCTTAGAATAAAATTAAAAAACATATTACCCAACTTTGTAATCTGCTTTGTGTCATTCCTTAAAAAGACTTGGAGGAATTAAAAATAAATAAATTTACAGCATAAAAATAAGGTGAAGCTATACTAGACATTTGTTTTGTGTCTTGAAACATAAATGCAAAAGTGAAAAGATGTAATATTTGAACATAAGAAGTTCAGGTACATGCTGAACAAGTTCAGATATCAAACTACTGAGCAATTAATGAAAGGAATGTTTACACTAGTCATGTGTGAAGTAAATGACAGAAGTATGATATAAGAAGTGTCTATAATTTACATTTACAGGAAGACATTCTGGTGATTTAATGATTATTTTTTCTTCTATAGTATTTTTTGCTGCTTGCATCTTGGTGTAAAGTAACTGTGAACACTGTCATCATTATCAGTGTACGTAGACAAAATATCTAAGCAATTTAGAAACAGCTGCAAAGAAATTTTAGACAATGATGTGCTAACTTCCAGCAGAATAATAAAATTCCACTTACAGTATGTTAATGGCCAAAGTTTATGATATTAGCAATACTTGTACAGATTGAAAAATATATATATAAAAAAGATAAGTGTTCTATGATGACCATTCCTAAGTGTAATAATATGGCACACAACGATGTTCAATTTTGATAAAATAGTGTAAAAAAAAGAAAAGACTAACATCTGTGTACACCATCTAGCTTTCCCATCTAGTAACCTGAAATTCCATAAGTGCCTTTCACTAGAGTTATGAGAAAGTTTTCTCAAGTTACACAAAACCTACTTATAGAAACTAAATTTCTTACAAAATAATCTGTGGATACTTTTAGCTGTAAATAGATATATTATCAATGTTTAACAATATAACGTTTTTCATGGTAAAAAAAAACAACAACAACACATTATTTAACTGAGGAAACTCAGAGGAACTTAGGAGTAATAAGCCTGATCAGAACACAACCATTATTCTAGTGGGGATGTGAGAAGTGACAAATAACTAACAGCAAATTGTTTTACATTGTTTATATATCTTTTGTGTGCTATTTTGTAAGAATATAAATAATATCTGTTCCTTGTACATAAATCACCAGTAGTAAGCTGTTCCAGCTAGAGGAGTAAAAACCAAATAAACTCTCTATTTCTCTTTAGCAACAATCACAGGTTGTAGTGTGCCACAAAGCCAATAAATCAAGTTCAGAGTATTCAACCTGAATCAAACAGTTGATTTTCAACAAAACACAACTCACTTTTATTTGAATTTCAAGAAGTTTCATGTATACACTATTGGCAAAAGCAGTATTTTATTTGAAAACATAAAATGATTAGGGTAACACTTGATTCATAGTCAATTACAATAATGAATATAATCTATACAAATTACGAAATCTTCATACATTGTGTAAGAAAAAAACTGTGAATATTTATCTACCAAAGACTATAACGGATTTGTTATTATATATTTAATATCGACATTTGTTTAGATTGAATTTATATTTGAAACATACATAGCTTATACTGTTGGTGAATAATGAAGGACAAAGCTAGCTAGCTCCCCGTTAAGCGAATCGTACCTAACCCTCTATGATGTCGAAGAAGTTCCAGACTAGAAAGAATACTTTATATTGCTTGTAAGTTTGTCAAAGTTTTGTTTATAAATCATAGTGTGCAATAACTATTTGTAATAACTGTTATTGTAAACTGTATTG